GGCCCCTGATGGACTTTTGGCAGGCCAGGGTGGAGCCCCCTCATCCAGAGGTGTGTTGGAGGACTAAAAGAAGGGCCTCCGAGACAAGGCCCCCTTCGATAGACCCCCCCCGGGGTCTTAGGCCATGGGTGAGATCAGCTGGAGACCCTGGGGTGGCCCCCTTATTTGGGACAGAAGGACCATCCGGAAGGGCTGGGGCTTTGCTTATGTGGCCGAGGGGTCTGAGAAGCTTTGGCCTCATTTTGCAGGCAAATGGGATGCAAGACAATTCACCCGGTGCTCAAGAGAGAAAATGGCGTCTTCACCACTACATGCGGTACGTATGGAAGGAGGTGGGCTGGCTTTTAACAACAGGGGTCCTGGTCGGGGGTTGGGATAGGAACGAGGCGGGGGCTGGAACGTCCGCTCTGCCCACCTCAGGCCCAGGATCCAGCCTGCTTGCCCAGAGGAGCTAAGAGAGACGAACCCCTTAAGACCCAAAGGGCCCTGGGCCAGAGAGGGACCGAAGGAAGGGATGTTGGGGGCAACCTCTCATTTCTGGGGTGCAAAGAGTTTAGCCCCATCTCAAGAGAGGTGCATCTTCACCTTCTGAGCCAGCTTCATTGGCACGAGGGGCTTTCTTGAGGTGGGGGGAGGCAGGCAGGTGCCCGTCCGATGCCCTCAATGCTGTCTTCCATCCCAAAGACATCAGGGATGACAAGGAGAGGAGAGCCCCCACATCTCCCACCTGAATCTCAAAGGCTTCCAGCTGGGGATCACCTGCCCCCCGTCTTTCTGCTAAAAAAACCACAAACCATCCACCTGATTTACCGTTGCTTCATGTCCTCCTACAGCGAAAGGCGGCAAGAAGACCATGAACGAAATAGAAATGACTGAGACGTCAGTGTACACCAGCATAACTATTTCCCACCGGGGAGGAGAGTGCAAAATGGTATCACTTTCAGGTGCGTATCTCTCCTGGGGAGGAAAGGAAAGACGGCCCAGACCGAGTTTCCATGTCCCATTAATCCACCTTTTGGTTTGAACCCTTTGGAACAGCTGGAAGTATTGAGGGAAATGGCCCCTAAACCTGGGTTTGCTTTGCAAAACCAACCATCGTCCTGCGCGAGGCTCCATCTGCTGGGCGGTTGGGAAGCCTGCAAGGGAGGACAGAGGGAGGAGCACAACATTAGAGCCCTCCCCCCCCCCCCCAGTTTCTTCTTCAGCTTCAAAAGCAGGGGAAAGACTCGGACGTGGGGGCTACATTTGAGGGGGGGTCTGGTTTCTGTGGGGACGTCCGTTCCCTTGAGTTGAGCTGTGTCCATAAACTTCCCCCTCCCCTCCCCTTCTGGCGCCACTGCGGTGCCCCTGGCTGGGGCTTGTAAGGAAAGGGAAAACAGTGCATTCCTTAGGTGCCTAAATAATCGCCCTGGCAGCCCAAAGTTGTCGGAGCGCAAGGATATTACCGGAGAGCATGATTGTTGACTCTTGGCTATGGATGTGTCCCATTGGAGAATACACGTCCAGGGAAGACCAGGGTCCAGGGGGAAGTGAATGTTGTATTTTAGTATTGGCTGCATCCAGCTAACGCCAACATGGGCACTTCTAGTAAATCAATTTTCTTTTCCCTGAGAGACGCGGCTAGAGACTTATGATTTGAATGGGGTGGATTGGTTGGAGTCCTGGCAGCCAGCCGATACTAAAATACATCATTCTTTTCCCCCTTGACCCCAGTCCTGACACTGAGCTCAGACTCACGTCTGTGTGTCCTCTGGTTGTCACCCAAAAGCTGACGTTCATCCGGGGCCCCCCGACTCTCAACTCTTGAGGACACCCCTTGGTTCCATTCAATCAAGGGTGGCACTTACAAGCAGGGCTGTGCCCCTCAAGAGGAGCCCCTCCCTTTGGGGGTCCTCTCAGAAGCCTTCTGTGCCTCCCCCAACCCCACCCCCACGGGTGGAAAGAGCCCAGGGGCCCACTGAGCTCTCTCTCTCTGCAGTCAACAATCTGGAGGACACTCCAGGGGCCCTGGATGGTTTCAGAGTCTTTGTTGATAAAGCCGGCCTGGAAAACGAAAATATCCAAGTCCTGTCCACAGAAGGTAGGCATTTGGGAGTGGCTGTGGGGACCCCGGGCCCCTCTTCCACCCGAGAGGGCCATTGGCAGGGCAGGGGCACCCCGACACCTTGGCTTTCCCCGTCATGCCAGGCCAGGAGTAGAGAAGGGGGCTTTGCTTCCCTGCCTTTTTGGGCAGCTGGAGTCCCTGGAGGGGGAGGGGGCAGTGCCCGCTGGGGGCTCCCTTCTCTGCAGAGGCCCAGCTGCGTGGCCAGGGGCCCTGCCCACATTCAACTTGCTCTTTTCCATTTTCCACAGGGATGTGCCCACGTTCCGCATAGGTAGGTTGATTCCGGTTCTTGGAGCTCGTGGTCCTCTTCGGACACTCCCTCCGTTCCACCGACTGCAGGACGCTTTTCCAGAGTGCTGGACCCTGCAAAGGGGGTCCATCTGGAGCAGGATTGGGGTGGGGGCTCCTGGCAGTGTCCAGCAGGTTGCCCGGCTGACCATCGGTGGGTCACTGCCTGTCAGCATGAAAACTGGGGCTGGGGGCGAGCTCGCATAGCTGTCCCCAGATGCCCAGGAGGGTCAGGAGCAACTCCAAGTGTCCAAGCAGATTGGGGAGGGGGGCGCTGGAGGTTGGGAGACGCAGCACCCCCCCGATTCCGCTCAGCCGGCTCCGTTCCTTGCAGGTGACCAGAGTGGAGGCCTCGAAACGGCCGGGAGAAGCGGCTTTTGGGCTTGACTCAAATTCTACATTTCAATAAATAGATTCAGTTCATGCACTTCGGTTTCAATGGGACTTTTTTTCTCCATTGCGCGTGTGCACAGAGCTGCTAGAAGGCGAGAGCAGCTGAAACAAAAGGGGTGACTCAGGAGTAAGGCTGGGCAGTTGCCCCTCCCACAAGGGATGAAAGTCAGACCTCAATGACGAAAAGCTTTGCAGGAAGCAAGTCCTCTTTGAAGCTCTTTGTACTCTGGTTAGTTTTTTTTTCCTCGGGTACTTTGGTTGGGTTCTGTTATACTTCTGTTTTTGGCAACATTCCACAACACTGAAAGGAGTGTGCTTATCTTGGGGAACTGTTTATAATTAGTTCTGGCTGGGAACGCACCTAATTCCCAGCGTTGCAATGAAATAAGGTTTTGCTTTTAAAACAAGTTTGGTATTAATTCTGTTTGACGAAGCCTGGGTCAGAATACCACCATCCCCCCCCCAAGGGAATCTACGGGCTGCAAGGTCCGCCCTGGGAGCCCACCCTGGCCCTCCCTCCCTTTCCAAGAAGGTCGGCAAAGTAAAACCATCTCCAACCCTGGTTTGAAATCAGGCCGTTTCCTTCATGGGGTTCAGAAGGACCTGATCAAACCTTCTCCCTCCCCCTGTTGCTTTTAATCCTTCAGCCATGTTGCTCACATTTCTACAAAACCAGGAATCGGGGATATCACCGTGTGGTTGTTTACTTGGTGCACGTGTGAGCCCAGATTGAAGTGTGGCACAATTTTGGCCATTGGACTCTTGGTTGCAAACTCCGAATTGGAAGTCCGATTCTGCTTACAACCAACCAGCCGAGAAAGAGCGCCACTAGGAAGAGATTCCCTATTCTAGATAGTTGTGTTGATCCAGCTCTCTCTTCCTCCTCTGCCTAATGGCCACAACCTGCAGAGAGGCAGAGAAGTCCACCTGCCCAGGTGAACAGCAGGCAGGTGGACTCTGAGGAGCACAGACAACATCGTCACCCCTTTGGAGACAGGAAATTAAGCTTCAATAAGAGGAAAAAAAAAACCCTGGTTATTCGTTCCAAACCTTCTACCTTTCCAGAAACAAAACTCGTTGTCTAAGGAAGCAATGAATAGAGGCTCATAGGCAGAGACACTGGGGGCTCCTGGATCTGACCTCTTCCAAATCTAGCCCCCTCCCCCTTATCATAAGCATGATGTGAATGAAGAATGCTAGAACTGGCACAAGGTAGCAAGGGGCCCCCTTTCTCCCTGGCACCCCAGCTGTGGAAATTCCCCCTCCCTTGAATGTAGCCATCCGCCCTGGTTTAAGCCTGCCCTGAAGAGGGGGGCTTGTGGGGGGAGGGAAAGCTCACTTGGCCCCCTCTTAATGGGGGAGAGTGACCGCTCGACCCACAGGAGAGGAATGAGGAAACACGCAGAGAACGGTTTAGCTTGCTGAGTTTTATTGATGCTTTATTTGACAAGCAAGGCTTGGCGTTTGCTGTCGTGCTGGCAGGGAGGCATCCACCCACAGAGGCGCCTTTCGGCAGAGGTGGGGTCTTCCTCCTTTCCCAATTGGGGTGGGGGTGGGGGTTAGCTAGTGAGGACCCCTCTCTGCCCTGAATCTTCACCACCTTGAGTCTTGAGCCCTTAGCACATTACTATGGAGGAGAGAAGAGAGAAGAGTTGGTAATTGGAGGAGGAGGAGGAGGAGGAGGAGGAGGAGGAGGAGGAGACTTTCCCTGATGCCCCGGTGATCCCAGAAGTGGTGGTGCCAAGGACTAAAGGGTTACCTCTCTGGGCCACGGGTCTAATCTGTCCTGTGACCCCCACAGAGGCGGCATAATCTCTGAATTTTGTCCTCAGATCTGTTGTCAGGCTGTTCCGTTTGCCTAGAGGCAAGGGTGAAGATTGAGGGGCTCCAGCTTTGCCCCGCCCCCCCAAATCCCCTGGTTAAACTGCAGCGGAGGGATGGAGACAATCGGAGGGGAGAGGCCTAGGAGGGAGGGGCTTCCCTTAGGGCAGAGGTGCTGTGGGAGAGGTAGGAGAGGGGAGGGCACATGCCTCACCAGGAGGCCCCAGCTGGCACCCCAAAGATGGTGGTGGAGGGGGTGAGAAGCAAAGGGAGAGGGTCCCCCCCTTGGAGGCCAGCAACATCGGGAAGGGCGAGACAAGGGGGTCTCCCGACCAACCAACCCCCCCAAAAAACATCCAGGCCTCTTACCAGCAAGCGTGAGGAAGGCATCCATCCCTCGCTCGATGTAAGAGATGCAGTAGGTGCTATAGTCCGTACTTAGTATTTGAACGAAAACGGGGCCTTCCGCGCAAAAGAGAGCTTGTTTAAAATCACCTCCTGGCCTCGGGCAGGAGCCCTGCGAGCGCTGCCCGCTGTCCCTGGAGAAGCTGAGGTGCCCTCCTGATGGGGTAGGTGGGTGGCGGCCCTGATCCTCCAAGGAGGGAGGGGAGGGCAGGGATGGGATCTGAGCGGTATAACTACCGGTTCTGTTGCTCGGGCGTCGTGCACGCCTGAGTCGTGCAAATGCAATTTACGACCCGCTGAGCTGCCCAGGCCACTGAGCAGCACTGCATGCAAGTGCGCAGTGGTTGGAAAAGCCCCCCCCTTTCCCCCCCTGCTTTTTCAACGGCCGCTGTGCCGCGCAAAGCAGCTGCGGTTGAAAAAGCAGGAAACGAAGGACAGGTAAGAGCCCAGGTAGGCCAAAACAGCAGCAGACGTTGGTTCTGTGCCTGCTGCTCTTCAGAGCTACCAGTAGAATCCCACCACCCCCGGGGGAGGGCCGTGAAAACTCGCCACTCAGCAAGTCGGATGAAGGAAGGAGGGAGTTCGCCACTTACTTAAGGTCTTGAATTCGCCTGCTGTTATCTGTTCAACGAACTTGAGCTCTTTTGGAATGCATCTGCCATTACTGAAAAGGGAAGCACACCAACCTTTAGGGAGGGTTGTATTTTTGGAGGGGGAGGAGGGAGCCAGCTTTCAGCTGAAGTGCTGCAGCTGTGAACTGGACCCCAGACCCCTGTGCCGATATGGGATTTCAAAGCATGGAAGGGTTCCCAGTCATAAGCCCTTTTCCTTCCGCCTTTCCCCCACCTGCCCTCAGGGGGGAAGGGAGGCCAGGCCAGCGAGGGTGTTAAGCCCCCCAAAACTTACAGACGGAACTGATAGCTGTATGCCAGACTTCTCCCCGGTACGACCTTTAATGTATATGGTGGGGCCTGATACTCAATCACAATGTTTGCCAGAGGATACCATGTCCCAGCAAGCTAGGAAGAGGAACCGGGAGAGTTTGTTAGGGTTGAAAGTGAGGCGGCTCCAAAGTCCAAATCCTTCCAGGAGCACCAGAAGCGGAGTCAATTAACCAACAAGGCCCTTTGCGGAAGCATTCGTGACCCTGGTCCAAAAGTTTCCCGCTTTCCTCCACAAGAGGGTTCTGAATCCCGGAGAAACAGCAAAGACCCGGGCCAAAAGGAATGGGGTGAAAATCTGGCAGTGGGAAAGACCAGGAGAGAGACAGCAATGGAGGCTTCTCCTCCCAAATGTAGGGCGGTACCCTGAGCCCAGAACCCCATAATCTCCCCAATACCATTTATAACAAGAGCCAACCCTTGCAGGACAGATGATGTTCCCTACTTGGGTTGAGAAATGTCTGCCAGCCAGCCCAGAGAACACCAGGGACTTAAGAGCCCGTCCCTCCCCACCTGGGGCCCTCTTCCACCTAGAGTTGGGAGGAAAAGAACTCCCTTCCAGGATTCCCAGCTCTGACCCTTTCCATATTGAAGTTTGGCATAGCGCGGAAGGTCGTTGCGGTTCCCAGCCAGCAGACCACAACCAAGAGAAGGCTGCCCAGCAGAAGCTTCATGGCTGCAATCCTTATGCCCCTCTGGCTGCTCAGCCTCGCCCCTTGCCCCTTTTATCCTCTGGAGGTTC